TACATCTATTACAATCCTTTTCTCATTAATATTTATATAATATTTCATAATTCTTGCAATCATGGAAGCGTAAAATGTTATCTCAATGATAGATAAAGTATTGCTCCCCCTAGCAAAAAGGCTATTAACTTTAAGCCAACCTAATTAAATAAACAACTGCGTGGACAGCGCGACTAACCGCTGTTCCCCTGTTTCAGATGGAGAACCAAGGCTTCGAGGAGGAGCCAAGAATCGAAGACCCTGGTTACCCCCGCCTACGACAATCGCCTACCCAGGAATCGCAGACCTACGCCATTCGTCCAGCAAGGATCGACATCTTCTTATCGTTGTCGAATCCTGACGGCCACGTGTACGAGGACATCCTGCCTGCCGTTGAAGATGTCTCAAAGACCTCGCACCCGTCCGCTCGTGAGTCTCCTACATCCACGAGCACTGAACGCGTTACCTACGAAGAGACGCCTGTTAGGAAAGACGTCTCGGTCTTCCGTCGAAACCTCACGCTGCCGTTTCGTCACGGCGGCCTCGATACGTCCACGAGTTCTTCCGTTCGCGTGACGAGTCGCGAGAAAAATGTCTGTCGCGAGGACACGGAAGCGAACGGGGACGCCTTGACCCAGGAGATCTCCGCTCGATCGCAGTCGATCGAATGCAGGCCGAACAGGAGACGCAGGAAGAAGGACTGCAAGCACTGTAGAAGCAAGGCTGCAGCCTCTAACGCTCCTCGCGAGATGGATGACAGGGAACAGAAGGATACCGTGCTCAGGAAGAACAGGGATAACGAACAGCAGCAAGGTCAGCTTTCTAACGATAGTCCGCGAACCATCCTGGAGGACTATAATTTTGGTAATCAGGAATCGCCGAAAGAAGAGTTTCCTAGGAAAGGAAATAATCCTGTGACGGTGTACACGATCTCTGAAAATGTTGGAGGCGGCGAAAACACGGGGAAGCTGATAGAATATGAACGCAGTCCTGGGCAGGTTATCGAAGCAAACAATAAGGAAGACAAAGCGTTGATTGCGTCTGAGAAGATTAAGGCTGGGATGAGGGTGAACTCGATCTACTCCCAGGATCGGTGGTACGCCAAGGAGGGACCAATATTCTTCACCGATGTCAAGGAACATGGATCGTTTCAGGTGAGTGACAGTGCTCGACAAACCAGATTATACAGGTACTCTCATTAGTCATACTCTTAATCATACTCTTAATCATACTCGCACAATTTAGCTGAACGATAACGAGACATTCGGGAAACTATATGTATTCTTTAATTCTTCTTGAATTTACTATCAGACGTTTATGATACAGTTTGTTTAAATTCACGTGAAATTATTTCGTTTCTGACATAGATTTTGCGTATGATTCAGAAATGGACAAAATTATCTTGCATTTAGACAAAAATATTCGTATAACGAAGGAGAGATAAACAGGATTTGTAATAATTGCAAGCTAAATTGTGCAGTCTAATTGTGTTTCACTTTGGACGAATAATAGCTCAACAGTTCGATCGAATAAGAAGTTAGATTGTTTATTTGAGTGTAAAGTCATTATAATTTAGATTATACCACCTCCTGGTCCAGTCTTTCCATTTATGTTTAAATATCACATTTAAATTGGTGAATTAATATAATGTTTTAACCTTTCTCTTCTCTTTCTCTATGTAACCTAACTTCTTATTCTAATTCCCATTTCTACATACTTCTAATCAATCGAATGAACATTGCATTCAGGTATTATTCGAATAAAATTCTGTCCATCTCTAATACACATAGATCGTAGATGGAGAGTCACTGCTCAGAGAAGTTGAGCACCACGCTTGCGCTGCACAGGCGTAGTAGTATGATTAGTCGCAGCTAGATGGCGTTTCAGAGCGTAGGTTTCTCGCAGTAGAAAGTGTAAGGGACATAGCATAAGTACAAACGCCGAGGGAAGCAAAGCATACTTACCTGGCGCAGAGGTTACCGTGATCAAGAAGGCGGTTCCTCCAGGGCGAGGCTTTTCCATTGCACTACGGTTAGGCTGACCCTTGCGAATATCCCTAATGTGGATATCTCGGGCGTATAATTTTTGGTAGTCGGGACTGCGTTCGCGCTGTCCCGGATATAAAACTTTGAAACAAAATTTGTTCTAGATCTTTCAAAATTTTCAATTTCAAAACCTCGTTTTCTTTTAAATTGTTTATTGAGAACAATTGTTTTATTAATTTTTTTTTATTAATTCACCTGACTCCCGTCTAAATCATCTTTTTTCAATTTTATGGTCTTTGTAGTTCTCGTCACCATGGTATTATTTATCTATCAGACCTTTTGTTAACTTCAATTTTTCTTTGAGTTCACATTTTTTTTGTGCATTAAATAATTTGCCAATTTATTAATTTCTAGTGGAGAAGGTTCATTTATAATTTTAGTTTCCGGATAATTGTTTTGCTTAAAGAGTAAATGTAATTTTGTTTAACTCTAGTCATATTATTTCGTGATAATAACATTATTTTGAAATTTTTTGTCAGCTACCATATTTCTCTTTTTATTATTTCACAGTGAAAAATAACACAATTTAAAAGTACGAAGTATTGCGAAATACAGTGAAAGTATTAAATAGATTACCAAATAGATTACGATCATTTTTATGGCATTTTTACACACCTCTTAGTTTACTTAAGAAAGTTTACTTAAGATATTTCATAGACGTCCACGATAACATTATTAAGAATAGTCATCTGTATCACGATTCGTGGTCGTCGCTCGAACAGTTTTCTTCTTCTACTATCAAAGTTTCTCGCTATTACCTCGTAGTACCATATATGTATTACCATTTCTCAATAATCAAGAAAAGACCATCGCATTTTTGATTGTATCATTTAATATTCAAATTAACGAAACGAGTACACGAGAAATCACACATTATGGATAAATAACGAGACTAAGGTTAACATGCTTGATAAAAGTCACCGGATGTTAGATAAGCCCAACGATACGTGAACTTGATGAAAATAATAAATTAATCCAGAGTCAAATATATAGAGAAAAACTGTTTGAACACTTTTACTTTCTATTTCTATTAAATGATGTCAAAGTTTAACTAAGATAACACGGAATCGTGTAAGTAATAATATAAGAATGACCGACAAATGTGTATTAATTGTGTAGATATATTCTCTGCCGCGCGCGAAACGAGACGCATTTCGGCACAAAGGCAGAAAAATAGAGGACAAGGCGAATGGCATCCAGGTTCCCATTACCCGTTGTCGCGTACTTTGAAGTTGTCCTGGGAAAAGAGAACGTCGGCGACGATCGTCGCTCTGAACTCTGTGAACTAGCCGACCCGAAAATTTGTCGTTCACTAATCTTAGAAATAGAACTCAAGGAGGAAGATTCGAGAAGTCGAGATTGGACGAGACCGCACGTCGAGACGTAAGGTCCCCCCTCCACCTGTGACTATTCCATGCTTCGAAAACACTGACTTGTTCTTTTTTTCTCTTCCTCTTCGCGTACTCCAACACTACAAATACAAATATGTGTATAATATTATACATATATACAGGGTGTCCCAAAAGTCGGGGAAAAGCCGCAAATGGGGGGTAGCTGAGACGATTCTGAACAACAATTTCCTTTGCAAAAATGTCGGATGGGGCTTCGTTAAGGAGATATTAAGCGAAAACCCCGACCAATCAGAGCGCGCGTAGACCGTTGGAGCGGCCGCGGTAGCGAAGGCTACGCGCTATAGGCGGCAGCGTCAATGTCCTTCGATGCACGTCGAGTCGCTTGTTCGCGTACAAGCGCGCCCGCCAGCGCGTAGCCTTCGCTACCGCGGCCGCTCCAACGGTCTACGCGCGC